CTCCACCATCATTAGCGGGGACACCTCAGACAGGATAAGCCACAAAATCTCAATTTCTGAAACTGTCAATGGGGATAATAATACAGCACCTCCTCTAAGGAGTCCTGGAAGACTTAAATTAGATCATGTGCATCAAACTCCGAGCACAGGCCCTGCCTGTGGTAAACACTTAGCATTAGCTCTCATTAGTGTAGCTTCAGGCAGGGTATACTGGACTCAGCTCTGGGTAGCCACCCCCAACCCCAGAGCCCACCATAAAAGAGGTGCTTGGAGGACAAGTGTTGTATGGGAATCAGTTTAATTGGACTTACTCATGGCCAGCTCCTCCTGAGGCTTTCCTGAGAATGTACCCTTGCTCCTTAGCAGGCTGGCATCTTGGGTCCTCTCCAGCACCCTTCCAAGACTAGCTCAAGGGCAGACAGGTGAGGCCAAAGGCAACCCCAGGACTCCTCTTTCTTTTTGTTCTCTACCCCACCATGAGATGGCCTGCCCTGTCACAGACCCTCCTATCAGCAGGATCCCATACCCCAAGAGAGTCCTTGGTATGTTCTCAGGACCCGAGCCCAGACATCCCAGCACCTCAAATGCAGACCACTCTGGGCAGTGGTTGGGGGAGTCCACCAAGGACTCTCTCCTACTTCTTGGGCCCTCTGGCCTCTGGTCAGTTAACAGTAAGATCCTGACCAGCAGGAGTTGGTTTAGGTGTGCGCATCTCAGCCTCTCCTGGGATCCTGCTGATCTACAAACCTGCATCCCAGAGCCCTGGCAACGAAAGCTCACATTTTCCAGGAAGGCTAGGAGATGGCTGCATGCCTCCTGCTGTCACATTTATCAAGAACTAACTGTAAAATCCAAAATGTGTAAGAGTCAGAGCACAATGGCCAGGAACTCATTTTGTTGTCGCTAAGCCTTAACAGCACAATCAAAAGAAATGTCTGTAGAGGGAAGGACAGCTTACATCCTTCTCTTCATCCCTCTGACAAGATTTTTCCTCCCTCCCCATAGCCAAGAAGAAACATCCTATTCTGCTAAATGGATTACCTTTCTAATCAGCATCTTCTCTCTTGACATCTCTTACATGTGCTACTACAATGCTGCTAAAATATGGTCCATGGACCACTGTCAATCTCTGAACTGGTCTTTATTGTCCGCAGAGAGATTGAGAGTTGTGCCAGACTGTGAAGTGACTACATCCCTATACACACTGTTTAGTTCAGCTGATATTTTTCCCAGCAAGACTATCTTGATGAAGGAAGCAGAATGTCTATTTATGTTCTCCATGAAGAACATAGGCGTCATTGCAGAAGAGTAACAGTAGTGGGGCCTCCGTTGTGGAGCTGAGTGTTACAGGACACCCGTCACCTCAGAGAGTGGTAAGGGTTGGGTTTGAGTGTAGATGGAGGGAACAGAGGCCCCTCCAATGTTCCAGCTCTGCCCTACTGGGCCCCTGCCCCTGCGAGCAGCAGACCTGGCCCAGCTCCTGTTAGAGTGGGGCTCGTTCCTTTTCCTTGTGTGTGACCACCCCCAATAGCCCAGTGGGAAGGATTCAAGCTCAAATACAATCCTTATGTCCCCAATGCCCCTAACTAATTGCATTTGTATTTAAAAGTATATTGATAGGAAGTGTGTCCAAGGTTACCGTGAAGGAGCCAACAGGTTTCAGATGGATGATCCACCGCAGGCAGAGTCCGTGCTTGTGGATGGACCCAGGAGACAAAAACCCAAGAAATATTCTGAAAAATTATCCCAACCAAAATACATGTATATACGAAAGTGAGGAGAGCAAGCCACCCGTTTAGGTAACCTACCTGGGACCACAGGTAACCCTCAGTCAGTTGTGCTTGTTATAATTATCAGCAGTCAGGCTTCACAGCAGAGCGGTAACAACCACAACCTTTCTAGTGTATTGAGCAGACAATTCGGTTCTCTAATCTCTCAAAACACTCGCTTTTTTGCACTTACCCTAGAAAGTGGCCAGGACTCAATTTCCCCATTTGTGAAGTGAGAGGAAACGTAGATGTCAAGAAGACACAGATGTGAGTTTCATGCAGGGAAGCACATTTGACAGAGGGACCCCAGAAAGGGTGGCCTGAGGCCATGCGGGCTCTCTGAGGCATCGGATGGCAGCTGGGTTTCTCCATGAGAAACAGGTTGGCGAAGGGAGCTGGTGGCTTCTGCAGGCCCCCCAAACAGTTGACAATTGTCTGTCCTCCCTGGCCAGAGATCTCAACAGCCAAAGCCATAGGGCAAACCTACCAGCCTATAACTAGACACTCGGCCCCCATATCTCCATGGCCTGGTGTGGTATGAGGGATCCAAGTGCATATGTGGCTATTCATTTTCACTTATTTTTACTTAAACAGTAGCAGGCTGTGTACAATGATGTCCAAGAAAGAAAGGCAACTTTTCATCTTCCAATGCCAGCACAGTAGTATCTTAGAGCTGCTTAGGTGGTATTTTTGAGACAGGCTGAGCCTCTCTTCAGTGGATAGGGATGCTTTTTAGTTATTCGTTTAAGGTCCTCTGGGATACGTTTAAAGCTTCTCTTCAGGCACACTCCCCAAAGAGCCTGCACCTGTGGGTACCAGCCCACAGTGGGAACCTGGAAAGCAAAGGTGCGAACCTGGAAAGCAAAGAGCTTCCCTCTGTGCCTGCACCAGCTGATACCAGCTCACAGCAGGGTCTTGGAAAGCAAAGAAACATACTCTGTGCTTGCAAAAAGAACATAGCCCTATGTAGGCCAGAGCCTGGCCACACTTCAGAAAGCCCTATTCTTCATTAGTATGTGCTCCCTTGAAGCCTCAAGCTCCCTCCCATTCTCCTTTCACTCCGCCTTGTTTCCAGTAAACCTCTTCATCTAAATCTGTTTTGCCTCCTCTCTTGATTTCTATCTTGGGGTGGGGGGTGTCCCAAGAACTCCTTCATGAGTGACACTGTGTTACCACCAACGGGGGAGCTTAAAACAAGAGAAGTTCATTCTCTCATGATTTTGGAGGTCAAAAGTCCAAAATCAAGTTGTCAGCTAGGTCCTGCTCCCTCCAAAGGCCCTAAGAGAGAATCCTGCCTTGTCTCTTCCAGCTCCTGGAGGTTCCAGACATTCTTTAGCTTGTGGCTACATCACTCCAATTTCTCTGTCCATCTTCATATGGTCTTCTTTTCTTCTGCTTGCTCTTCTGTCCTTATAAGGACAGCTGTGATTGGATTTAGGCCCCATCCAGGTGATCCAGCAGGATCCATCTCATCTCAAGGTTCTTAATGATATCTGCAAAGATCCCTTTTCCAAATAAAGTTGGGTTTGCAATTCTAGAGATTAAGATGTGAACATACGATTTTAGCAAGGAAGCCACCATTGCCGCACTACAGCAGCTTTCTGTCATCAACAGCAAGAACAGCACCTAACACACAGTAGAGATAATAAATGTTGCATCAAAGGATAAATCTGATTTGTTCACTTCAAAGACAATACCCGACAATGCCTGCCCTGAGCTAGGTCTTGTGCCAGCTCCTAAGGACACTAAATGGTTACACAGAGCCCTGAACTTGAGGAGCTCAAGGTCTAGAGGGAAAGATAGAATCAGACATAGCAGTGTGAGTCTTAGCTTTGCCTCCTACCAACTGGGCAGCTGTGAACATCAGCCTCCCTTCACTCTCTGTAGAAGAAAATAATTCAAATGGCTGGGGAGGGAAAGGAGGTTCTGCTTCCTTACTATGGAGGGTGCCCACAGATCCAACTCTCTGCCCTCACTCAGCCTCCATAAATGAGAAGATTATCGGATTGGTCAATTAGGTAGGACTAACATGGTCATGCTTCCTTCAGCTCCTCACTCTTTCATCGGGGAGCTGACTTCTCTGCGAGGTCATGCATTTTGCTCTCTCCTTAACAATTTAGAGATCTGTGCTCTCCCGCTGAGGCATGTGTGTGCCTGGGGAAGGTTCAGAATTAGAAACATGGCTTGCCTGCAGATACAAGCCACCTTCTCCAGTATCAGCTCTAGTATCAAGAATAAGCATGATATTTTGTCTCTTATTTGCCTTGCACATTTATCTTATTTCTCAACTGGTCCAGAATAAGGGAGGAAAAATGAGTTTTATTTATTTATTGAACTTGCTTAAACTCTTACAACAACTATGGTGGGGGGGCTGTTGGAAATTTTATAAAGGACAGTGCATATGAAAGTCCTTAGCATGTGCTTGGGACATAATAGGTGGTCAGTCAAGAGCAGCTACGCCATTCTCCTTCCCTTCTAAGCCCCTGAATCAGGGATGCACTAAGCCTGGCACGGAGGTCCTCTGCCTTCGGGGTTCCCTGAGCCGCTGGTCCAGGAGCCAGGGCCCCGCTTCAGATGCCGCCCGCTCCGAGCGAGCGGTCGCCAGCCTGGGTGGTAATCAGAGATTCCAGCCGAGCCTTTGATGCCACAGCCGGTGCGGTGAGCCGGGCACTGTTTGAAGTGCCTGCCTGTGTAATAAGGATTTCTAATTCGCTCAAACCAAAGCAACATTTACAGTAAAGATCATTTTCGGAATGAAAAATAAATTGTGACTGGAGGGTCTGGGTTTGTTTCAAAAAGGGAGATCACCCACAAGCATCGCGTGCTCTGAGAACGCGCTGGCCCCTGTGCTTTGAGATGGAGAGCACGCCACTCAGAATTTCAAAGTGCGGCTAATTAAGAGCAGTTTATTAAAATGTCAATCTTTAAAACCAAAACAACTCTCTTCCCTAGCTTGCTGAGTGGACGTCCCAGCTACTCTTCCCACTCCAGATAATCCAGTGGGCAGCTTCCCCAAGGCCTCTGGAAAGTACCTGTCTATATATATCTCTCCTAAAGAGTCGGGGGCAACTGCCCTCAAGGATGGCCCCCAACACCTGTCATTCTGCTACAAGCCCAGCCCCATGGAACCTACCTTTCAAGACACAAGATGGCATCTGAGTGTGTGGATTCAGGAGCCGGGCTGCCCAGGCTGGAAGCCTCACCTTATCTTGCCTCCTATGGGAATTTTCTGTGCCTCGGTTTCTTCTTCGGTCAAATAAGAATGACCATAATAGTACCTGCTTCGTAGGTGGCTGAGAGGATTGAAAAAGATGATATGTATAAAGCATTTAGACTGATGTCTGGTACACAGTAAGTGCTAAATAAGCACTAGCACTCTTAGTTCCCAAGCTACAGAGTAGATCCCAGGCAAGGTGGGAGGCAGCCCCTCACCCCTCCATCAGGTTGTTCCTTCCTTTATAACCTGTATTAGTTATCTATTGCTGTGTGACAAATTACCCCAAAACTCAGTAGCTTAGAACAACAACATTAATCATTTCAGCTCCTATAGGTCAGGAATCTGGGTACAGTTAAACTGGGTCCTCAGCCTCAGGGCCTTTCTAAGGCTGCGCCATGAAATCTCACTTTTTTTTTCTTTACAGATCCCTCTTTCAAGGCAGGAAATGCACCTTATTTAGTTTTATGGCCTCAGCAATCAAGATTTAGCACACAGTAGGTACAGAGTAAATGTCAAATAAACAAGTCAAGGCACGAATGAAGGCATGCACATCCCCACCGATGTTTGCGAACAGGACACAGTTAGCTGCCCCGCAGGAATTCATGATCTGAGAGCTGCCAAAAGAGAGCAGGGCTGTGTGGTGGCAGCTTCTGGCATGGCTCCCAGTGACCCTGCCTCCTGGTGTTCATACCCATGTAATCCCTCCCTCGGGTGTGGCAGGACTCAGGCGCATGCTTCTCATGACAGAGCACAGCAAACTGTGATGGGATGTCACTCCCATGATTAAGTTATAAAGACTGTGGCTTCCATCTCTCTGGCACTCCCTGGCGTTCTCAGCTTGCCTGCTTTGATGATGCCAGCTGCCATAGCGGAGAGGCCCCCACGGCAAAGAACTGGGGCAGCCTCCCGCCAACAGCCAGTAAAGAACTGAATCCTGCCGGCAGCCAAGGCACTGAGCTTGAGCTCGGAGTGGATTCTTCCCCAGTCCAGCTTTCAGATGACTGGAGCCCAGCCAGTACCTTGATGCAGCCCGTGAGAGACCCTGAGGCTGAGGACCCAGTTTAGCCGTACTCAGATTCCTGACCTATGGGAACTGAGATGATTAATGTTGTCGTTCCAAGCCACTAAGTTTTGGGGTAATTTGTTACACAGCAATAGATAACTAATACAGGCTATAAAGGAAGGAACAACCTGATGGAGGGGGGAGAGGCTGCCCACCTTGCCTGTGACCTACCCTGCTGCTTATTCTCTCCAAGGGACCCCAGGAAAAAGCATGCTGAAGTTGGGAGGCCTGGGTTTGAGGCCCAGCTCTGCTGTTCTTGAGTGTATAATCTTGGGAAGCTTTCCTAATATCGCCTCTGCCTCTTTGTCTTGAAAAGAAAATCACAGCATCTACCTCGTGGATGTGTTGGAAAGATTGAGACCATGGATGAAAATGCCAGGCAGAGGTTTCCAGACCTTTCAGGGAAGAAGCAGCTGGGAGAGCCCCTCACTCTGAAGGCCATGTAAGGACCCCAGTGGTCCCTTCAAAGTTTCAACACGTCATTTTGAAGCATCTAATGTATGCCAGGCTCTGAGCTAAGCACCGGGGGTACGGAAGTAAACAAAACAGCGCAGTCCCTGCCCTCATGGAGTTTACTTTCTAATGGAGATACAGACACTGACCGGGTACTGCCAAGGGTAAGATGCGACCACGGAAGCCCAAGGCCCAAAGGGGAGGGGCATAGAAATGCAGGGTGTGGGGTGGGCATGGGCCAGCATAGAGAAGTCAAGGAGGAAATAGCCAGAAATGAGGCCAGCAAGGTGGACAGGGAAGATGATGCCTTTCAGCCCAAGAGAAGGTTGGCCCTTTCCAGCCCATGAGGGAAGGTATCCTGGTACCAACAGCAGCCACTGGAGGGTCAGGAGCAGTGGGGGTGATATGACAATGTTTGAGTTCTGGAAACATACCGCATGGAAAATAAATGGGACAAGGGGAGACAGAAGCCTGGCAGCCAGGAAGAGCCACTGCAGGACAGGTGTGAAGGACAGAGAGACGGTGGCCAAGGGGATGAAGGCGAGGGCTGGCTTCCAGAGCCCAGGACTCCAGCTCAGCGCTGCCTCACCTGGCCAGGAAAGACACCCAACCGGGGGTCTGCACTGGTCTCTGAGTAAGTCCCTCCCTCTAAGACTCTCCCTGCAGAGGGTTCCTTCCACAGATGGGCATGGGAATTACCAAGAGTCTCCCTAGATCTTCAGAGGACTGCCACCCTCCCCCATTACAGACCTTCCATCAAAGGTCTCTGTATAAAGGATGGCAATATAGGCTCTGGACACACATTGCCAGGGTTCAAATGCCAACTCTACCACTTCATAGCTGTGAGGCCTTGGGGAAGTTACTTAAGCTCTCTGTGCTTCAGTTCCCTCAGCAGTCAAATGGTCATAGTAATGAAGACTTCCTAGTGTCGTCACATAGATTAAGTACAGTCCGTGCTGGAGCCCTGGCCCAGTGACAGCTCCCCAGCAGGAGTGATTACAGGATTAAATGTCCTTCAGGCTGCTCTGTGACCTCCTCTTCATCACATCAAGCTTCGGGTCCCCAGGGTGATTTGCAAAACAAATGACAAATGATGTCTCTCCATACTCAGTGCCTCCACCCAATTTGACCTGATGTAGCAGGTCCCCCAAGGAACCCAAGGATTTCTTGCCTTCCCTACGCTGCATTGGGCCCAATGCCCTGCAAACCAGGCGTGCTCTACAGCTGCTCCCACAGCACAGTGCTAGCAGGTAGCAAGGTGTGTGGGGCCCCGGCAGTTCCAGCACCTGCCCTCAGTGTCCACCTTTCCAGTGGGCCCCTCCTGGAGTGGGTTGAGGGAGGGCTGGGACTATCTCTGCTCTAGACTCTGATGGATCCTAACACCCACCCAATGCTCAACAGCTGTGCCTTATATAAATAAATGAATAAATACATGAATGAAGGAAAGAGTGTGTCTTCTCTTTCAATAGGTGGGTTTCTTAAGGGCATTCATTTATTCACTGGACAGATATTTACTGTGTGGGGATCTTCTCAGCTGCTCCTTCAGATCCCACTTACCCCACTCTGTGTCCTAGGGGGCTAATCTCACAGACTGCATGACTCAAGCACCCTCATCCTTTGGCTTCAGAAGACCAAAGGCCAAGAGCAGATGCCCACTTCTGCCCAGCCGGGCAGCAGTTCAGCAATGGCCCTGCCCGGCCCATCAGCCTTCCAGTAACCAACGTTCTCTCACATGAGGCGAGTGAGCATCCCACTGTTATTAGCTTTGGGGTGTTTCACATCTCTCGACCATGTACATGGTTTATAAATAGTCTCTTCATTAAACTCTCTTTATATCCTGCCCCCGCTTCACCCTCTTGCATTGGGCGCAGTCACTTGTTCCCTGCCAGGTCCCTGGGTCATGCAGCCTGCTCTGTCTCAGGATTCTTTGAGTCACTGAAGCGAGGGGAGAAGTTCCTGCTCTCAGGGAAATTGAATTTTAGTGAGAAGAGACTGACAAGAAGTGTGATCAATAAGTAAAATATATCTCAGAGAGGAGCAAGTGCTAAGAGAAAGGGGATGGTAATTGCGGGGGAAGGGAGGGTTGCTATTCTGTGGCAAAGGAGGCTCCCTGAGAGGGTGACTTTAAAAAATGACCTGAAATAAGGGAAGGGGCCTGGATTCTGAAGGAAGAGAAGGTGAGGGAAGAGAAGTGCAAAGGCCCTGAGGCGGGGCATGTCCTCCTCGACCAAAGAATGAAGAGGAGGCCCAGATGGCTTTAGTGAATGTTGTTGTGATTGAAAGGAAGAGGGGAAAGAGGGAAGGAAGGCCAGAGGAAGGCTGTGTCCACAGAGGAAGCATAGGCTGGGCAATGTTCTTATGACCATGCCAACCACAGGAGCCTCTCTTAAGCACCCAACCCATCAAGTGTCTGGCTCCACATCTTACCTTACATAGCATAGGCTCTGGGTCATCCCCAGGTGAGGGGCCTACCTCTTACTGCTAGTGAACCCCGATCATGGCTGTCTCTTCTAGTGCTCCTCTCAGTGGAAGCTGCCTACCTTCTAGATTGCACGACATGCCATCAAGAGAGCTGGTTCCCTAGGTTCCCAGTGGTAGCAAAAAGCTGCGAGGAAGCCCAACATACCGAGGGGCCCTGGTCCTGGGACCTGAGGCCTGCCCTGCTCCCCAGGCCTGGAGCCCGAGGGTCTCCTCAGCTGACCACAGTCAAGAAGAGGCCCCCTGTAGAGGGGAGGGGGCAGGAGAGGAAGGGAACGCACACCGAGCCGGCAGAGGGCAGCCCTGCCCTGCGCCCTGCCCCTGTCCCTGGGGAGTCTCTCTCCTTTGGTGATTGTTTCCCAGGCTCCCTGGAGCCAGAGGAGGATGGAATGTTCTTATCACTTCCCAGAGGGAAGGCTTTCTTCTTCCTTCACAAAAATGTTAAGCTTCATAATCCGATATGGAACCTGGACAGGCTGCAGCTGGCGGCCTGGGTCCTACTTCTGGGAACTGTGGGGAGGGGAGAGAGTTGGGAGGGAGGAGGGGTAATGGGGAGTGACCGCTGCTGAGCAGAACCAGAGAGGGGAGACTAGAGGTGAGGGCGAGGGTCCAGACCCTCCCCTAATGAATGGAAACCTTGGGGATTCACCTAAAGACCCCAAGACTATGAGAGAGGCCCTTCCCCCAACCCCACCTCACCCCTGAACTATGAAGACAGGGTTCCCCGCCAGGGCAGAGTTGGCTGTGCAACCACCAGCAGCTGACCTGCTGACCTGCACGGACGCCTCTATGGAGAGCAGGCTCACTCTCTGCAGGCGGGTTGCTCTGTCCCTTGTGGGAAGCTGGGCCTGAAAAAGTCCCTCCTCACAGAGCTGCGCTCGCAGATCAGGGGCCTGCCCCGGGGGTGACAGGATAGGTGACTTCGGTGGGGCTGTTCTCCTCAGAAAGCCACTGGCTCAGGAGGCTAGGACCCTGTAAGCTCCTAGGAACAGGCCCACTTCCTGAAGTGGGTCAGGGTGGGAGGTTCCCTGAAACTCAGAAATGCAGTTGGAGCCAGCGAAGAGGGTACCAACAAGGTGACG